GCCAATTAAACCTGTTAGAGCCTCTTCTTAGAAGTTATGTTTAAATATGAAAAACCTTTCAATTCAAGCCTCCTAAGGAGACTGAAAGAGAAGAAGGAGCAGGTTTACCTGAAGTTGAACTGGCCCCAAAATTTTCACCACCAGCGGTAGAACACAAACCTGTGAGAGTCCTCCCTGAAAGAAACTTCTAACAGGAGGAGAGTATTTTCCTTTAGGCTCGAAAGAAGACGCAAAGTGGGGAAGAGGGAGAGGAGATACCAGAAGTTGCACTTTTTCTTCCGCCATCAGCGCAGTCTGCAGAGACTACGGCACCCTCTCACGTTCCACCATCGGAACTGCAGCGTGAACCTGTGCTCGTTTTTCTAAGGAATAATTTTTAGAAGGAAAAAAGTTTTTATATTAGGCTTCAAATGAGCAAACTCAGAGTAAAGAAGAAGGAGGAGGATTACCTGAAGCCGATCTGTTTCTTCCGCCTTCAGCGCAGTCTACAAAAGCTACCACTATTCACCTAAAACAGTCATCTCCAGCATTACGACGTGAACCTGTAAGAGGCTGATTTTGTAATGCTATAAAAGGAAATGTTCTGGATTCAGGCGGCCTATAAGGGGCAATTTGAAAGCAGAGAAGAGGGAACAGGATTGCCTGTACTCGGACTAGCTCCGCAATCGCCAGCTCCAGCATCGCAACAACTCGTGAGACTTTCCTTCTAAAGCTTTTCTTTGTAAATGGGTAGGCTTTTTACCTTTGAACCTTTTTTTTTCAAGCGTGAAAAGTCCAGTCAAGGTGTGCATGAGGGAGAAGGACTACCAGAGGCGGATCTGTATGCTCCTCCGTCGGGTCGATCTATAGAGACTACTGCACGTCCCCACTCACGTTCCTTACACTCGCCGGCACAGCAACGTGATTCTGTGGGACTCCTCTGTCCTAAGTTGCTTCTGATCAAACAAGCTTCTCATACACAGGTTCATGAGCAGCAGACCCAAAACAGAGAAGAGGGAGCAGGATTGCCAGAAGTTGATCTGTTTGCTTCCACGTCGGCTCAACCTACAAAAGCAACTGGTTTACCTCATATGAAACCGTCACTGTCAGCAATTGACCATGAATCTGTGGGTGTCTTTTGTTGTTAGCGAACAGTTACTTGTTAAGCTTCCTATTTCAGGCTCCTAATG